GTGTGTGTGTGTGTGTGTGTGTGTGTGTGTGTGTGTGTGTGTGTGTGTGTGTGTGTGTGTGTGTGTGTGTGTGTGTGTGTGTGTGTGTGTGTGTGTGTGTGTGTGTGTGTGTGTGTGTGTGTGTGTGTGTGTGTGTGTGTGTGTGTGTGTGTGTGTGTGTGTGTGTGTGTGTGTGTGTGCCTGTGTATATATATATATATATACACTCAGACACAAAGGATCTCCAAGTTTCTCACTGTTGCTACTCTGAGTTTCGTGCAAAAGCACTCTTCAGGCAACTTGCCTGAAGAGTGCTTTTGCACGAAACTCAGAGTAGCAACAGTGAGAAACTTGGAGATCCTTTGTGTCTGAGTGTATAACCCCGCTCTGTCTTAGGACATTGAGCACTTTTTGCCGACGCAAGAAATACTTCTATTGTTCTATATATATATATATGTGTGTGTGTGTGTGTGTGTATTTATTAGGGCTGAAATGATTATACCGAATAATCGAGTACTCGTTTGATAACTCTAACAATCGAGCATTCATAACAACAGCAAAAAATGAAGAAAGTCAAGTTCCATAACGTTTTCTTGTGACTGTCATCAGTGGAACGCCGTCACATAAAATGTAATAACTAAAACACACACTTATATACATGTAGCTAATATGGAAAACGTTGTATCACTCACACTCTTCAAGTAATACACACGCACCATTACATTCATTCACACAGTATCACATTCATCTGCCACTACCTTTCTCACATACACTATATTCACACATTACAAAGGTGAAAACTTCGCTTTTTGTACTTGCTGGCTGCTGTATTTCTACCTGAAACCATATTAGCTACATGTATATTATAAGTGTGTGTTTTAGTTATTACATTTTATGTGACGGCGTTCCACTGATGACAGTCACAAGAAAACGTTATGGAACTTGACTTTCTTCATTTTTGCCGATGTTATGAGTGCACAATTTATCTTATTTATTGCCATTTTACGACTATTGTCTCCTCGTCGATTGTTTAAATCGAGCAATCGTTTAGATTACCGATTACGATTATTTTGGGTTTTTTTTAATTTTAAATTTCTTATACGTGGAGTGCATGCAGTGCAGAGTATACATGTACACATGTAGCTGGGTACGAGTACGAGTATATAGCTCGTGTACTAGTGGACAATCATGCCACATAGCATTTTTGTGCAAAATTTTGTACATACATGTACATGTATTTCCACTTTTGGCCATTCCACGTACACTGTACATATTCCAGGTGCGGCCTCTTAAAGATTATAATCGAATAATCGATTGTTATGATAAAGAGTAATCCATTGGGCTAAATGGTTGATCGTTTCAGCCCTAGTATTTATGTACGTATGTGTGTGTATGTGTGTGTGTGTTTGTGTGTGTGTGTGTGCTTGTGTGTGTGTGTGTTTTTGTGAGTGAGTGTGTGTTTTGTGTGTGTGTGTGTGTGTGTGTGTGTGTGTGTGTGTGTGTGTGTGTGTGTGTGTGTGTGTGTGTGCGCGCGTGTGTGTGTGTGTGTGTGTGTGTGTGTGTACGTGTGTGTGTGTGTGTGTGTGTGTGTGTACGTGTGTGTTTATGCAACTACTGCAGGTAACGTATGACTTCCAGTACATCTATGAGCCACCACTGAGCAAGAAAGAACAGCCAGAAGACTACATTGAGTCTAAGCCTGTGGACGTAAGTACGGGATTCATCCTTGTACAAGTGTACTTCATGATCCGTCTCATACTTGATGCTATTCTAAAATTAACATTATCACGGGGTCTCTAAATGATGTTGAAGACATAGGCCTAATGGTCTGCTGTTCCTCTATTGGAGCAACTGTCCTTCTCCTCTACGTGGGCAACTGTTCTTCTCCGGGTAGAATTCAAATAGAAGACACATCTCCTTCTTGCTCTGTTGCCTATTGCAGCTGATGGTGACTGAGAAGACTGAGAATTTACTGTCTCATCGACTGACACAGGCACTCATGAAGTACAAATGGTAAGTGCAGAGCAGTGATGGACCTAACCTGCAGCCGGCGTCAGCAGTGTTAACCACCCCTTGGTGCAGCCTAATGTGGTTGCCACAAGGGTTAGCATGGTTGGTGCAAACCTGGCCTACCCGATTGAAGCGTTTTAAACTTCCGTATACTCAAAGGACCATCAAAGCATGACAACTGATGGTACTAGATATCCACAGAACTAGTATGTCGGCGAACAAATAAAAAAATTCAGGGTCCGCGTCCGACTTGGCTAGACGCCGAGTTTTCTGCATCCGTAGGAACACCACCAACCTTCAAGGATCAAGGCGCAGATGCAGCTCCTAAAGCGATGGGAGATTAGTAGATCAGCTCACCAGTAAATGGTCAAAGACCGAAAATCCCATTCACTGCATCCATGTTTTCCTCGTGCCAGGCCACGAGTTCCCAAATTAACTGTGGGTCGCAATATGGCTGGAAAAATCCTTCCGCTTCCAAGCAGGACAGACTTGAACCTGGCACCCTCTGTTTCTAAATCAGGGTCTTAGAGCATCCCACTATGCCTGCCTGCAACAAATCAAATGGCTTCTCACTTTCTCGCACGCTGGACAGGATCGAGTCTCATGTCAGTCTGATGCCGCTGGCAAGTCAGTATGTTACTCTGGTAGGCAGGCTGTGAGCTTGCGCTTTCAAGAAAGTTGTTGTGCCTACACGCCTCACTGAATCTACATTGTAGGCAGCGGTCGCTTGCACCAGGTTGGCATTCACCATTTTCACACAAAGTCATGGTCACTGCTCGCACACACTGTCACTGTGGCTGCCCATCCTGGAGAGATTAGTTTGTGTGTGAAACCATCGGTGTATGCCGCAAACAGTGCCTGATGGTAGATGGTCGCCGACAGCAGATGTTGCTCATGGCTGGCTGTACTGCACAATGATAAGCTGTTACATTGATCTCTGCTTACTCGGTATTGAGTACAGACGATTGCAGTCTACATACTGTACGAGTATGTGCCCGACTCCCAGCTACACTGCAATACCCTCTGCATGTCTGATCATGTTGTTATTCAGTTGTATGATGACTGGACTTCAGAGAAATTCTTCGTTTCAGTGGACCATTGCCGTCTTTAGTCGCGCCATGGCTTGCTAGAATGGCTCTATAGAACAGCTACTTTAGATGGCAGTGGAGCAATATTCCACTAGCTACTCCCGATAAGTTAAACCTGATTCCGTGACCACACATGGAATTTTCCTATCCCAATCTTTGGACACAGGTGGTCTCTGAAATCATACATCCGACCAACTTCAGTACCGAGCAAAGAGGTTTCATTTCTGAGGTGGTCTGGGATATTTGTACGTGCGCCGGAGGGGGAGACTTTCGCGGGACCGGTAGAAAATGGTCGAATTCCCGCTGTATTCTGTGGACGTAAGGTGGTCGGAGACTGTATGCAATTTGACAGTGTAAAGACTCAGTAATTGTGCCATGTGCTGTCTGCCACCGCGTTAACTTCAATTGCCAATGTTATCTTTTCTTCCTTTGCACACACACAGGCGTACTTTTGGCAAGTGGGTGTTCCTCACCAACCTCCTGGTGTACATCATCTTCATCAGTTTTCTGACAGTCTACGTTGCCAACAACAAGACTAAGCACCAGCAGGACGCACTCACCTTACAGGACACCGCCTTTGCTACGGAACGCGATGCCAAGTACGTTGCCTACAGTTCCGTGCAGTGTTCAATTTCCGATAGCCGCACGGCGAACTTCCACTACTTAATCCGTAACTCCATTGTGAATGCCAACTATCCGTGCCGCGCTCTCAAATTTGAGTATGAGTGTGAGTCTCCTGTAGCCGCCATTGACAATACACTGTTCGCATCCAGTGCTAACTACACTTGTCCGCCGACGGAGTGGAGCCCTAACCAAACAAACTACATCATTGGTTGTGTTGGGCCGGCGTACTATGCAACAGGTGATTTCATCACTGTCTACGAGCGGCGGGGGAGACTTGTCGAAGTATGCACAGACCTCCGCTACAATTCTTCATGTACCCTTGCCAGCGGAGAATGGGGCATCATCTTCAGCCAGGACGTCAGTATTCAAACCACTGCTTGCAGCTCTCCGTTTGTAGTCCCCGTGAGTACATATCGCATATCGGCCTGTGTGCGTGCATTTTTACATCTCTGCGCATAGAGTGTATACAGTGCATGCAGTGTATGCAGTGTATGTGTAGAAATGATTGAGTATGTGTAGAACTGATTGAGTATGTGTAGAAATGATTGAGTATGTGTAGAAATGATTGAGTATGTGTAGAAATGATTGAGTATGTGTAGAAATGATTGAGTATGTGTAGAAATGATTGAGTATGTGTAGAAATGATTGAGTATGTGTAGAAATGATTGAGTATGTGTAGAAATGATTGAGTATGTGTAGAAATGATTGAGTATGTGTAGAAATGATTGAGTATGTGTAGAAATGATTGAGTATGTGTAGAAATGATTGAGTATGTGTAGAAATGATCAGTGAGTATGTGTAGAGGTAGGTGGAGGCTCACAGATCTAGTACAACTTTATTAACATCTTTGCAGTGTTGAAGTGAAGTGCTGAAGTGAAGTGCTAAATCAGTGGTAACCCATGCTAAGTGTAGGGAGCGAAAGTCGGTGGCAAAGAGCCAGCAACAGGTGGTCAACTTACCATGATTCTGATTAATGGTTGAAACCCGTACATAGCGGACTGTACTAGTATACATTCATAGCCGTTGCTGTACGGGTTTGTAGAGGTTTGGTGAATGTCATTTTGCACCCGGGCTTACAGTCCATTTCAAAACGGCTATAGACGAGGCGTACGTAGGCAAAAACCGTTATGCCAGCATCTATACCACATAAAATCTGTGATCACTTTGTGCATAAATTTTCCAAATTGGGCGTCTGTTATCCAATCGTTTAGAAACTATATGAGAGTAATTGTGGAGCGGACCTGAGCAATATTCCGAAAACTATTCTCAAAAAGTTCCAGCCAAATTTGAAATATTTCAAAAACCCTACGCGTCTATAGTTTTGAAATGGACTGTAGTTGGCCGCCTCATTAGACTTTACTATTATGATTATTATTTTTATTGAAAACCCACAAACCTTCAGACATGTGAATGTGCACATGATATATAGTGTACATACGTATGTATCGAGAAAGCAGCACAGAAACGGCAGTGGTGGCGAGGCCTGGGCAGCTCGTCCGACCGTGGGTCTCGGAGTCAGCACTGGGCAGACGCACCGGGAGGGGGGTTGGTAGCTAAGGAGATAAGGGATGGAGCCAGCGCGATCATAGCATGTAATGCATATGCAGAAGTAATATGTAAATCTTAGAGATGCAAGAGCCACTAGGAGCCAGAAAGAAATCACTGTGCGGCTGTGCTGATAGCACAAGTTGTTGGGAACTTGTAACCGGGTGTGAGGGTAGCATGGATGCAGCAACCGGGATCATCAGCCATGGATTATTTTGGTAGCGGATCTGATCTAGGTATCTCCGTTTTTCTTTTCTTTTAGGATATCACTTGATGCCTTTCATAATGCTAATCCTTCGCATGTTTCTGCACATGTGCCAATTGGTCGATCGGACTAGAACACAATCTACATATAGGATTTTCTAATGATCTTCACGCTTTAAAAAAAATGGTACAACAATACGGTTATTGCGCTTGAGAAGACCAATAAATGGGTTTTCACTGACGTGTTGCATGTATCATGTTGAAAAGCTATGAAGCCCCGAATGTCAACAACGTCTTGCCCATTGGTAAAAGACAGACTACCCGATTTTCACAACACTCTCATGTTATAAGGAAGTTGGCTGCTCCCGCATGCTCCCCCCCCCCCCTCCCTGACTTGACCCTTGACTTGCTACCACTATTTCCTACTGTCATGTCAGTGCAAATTTTTGTCTTGTTATGCTGTCTGCTTTTCCATGCAGGCGCCTCCTCCATCATCCTATATCAGTCAAACGGTTCTCAGCGTCTTTGCCTTGGTCCAGATGCTCAAGGAGCTCATTATCATTGTTTTGAAGGTAACATCTGGCCACCGGTGTCTATACCCGAACACCGGTGTCTGTACCCGAACACCGGTGTCTATACCCGAACACCGGTGTCTATACCGAAACGCAGAAAAGTGCTCGGTTTAGTTCAATCTTTGTTGATGTGGTCATGCACAGGTGGATATATCAGTGATGACCATTGAAGTGTTCTCATATCTTTCGGTGTTACCATGTGTCACTGGCTGCCTCAGGTATGCCAATGTTCCCGCTGTAGCTCACACATGACTGTTCCATATCATTTCAAAGTTCAAACAAGCTCTACAACCACTTGAAAGATGGGTACGGATCACACATACGCATTCCTGCCAAAGGATCAAACAATGACCATTGCTTTCAGATCTTTTGGCAGAAGGCTGGTCCTTGCGGTGCTTGACCCAGGCCAAAATTTACACCACGAGAGTGTAACAATTACGACTCCCTGATTGCCTTGGTTCCTAGCCATCACGGTAATAATGCAAGAGAGTCTCCCTAGATCCAACCAGAGTATTGCACTGATCAGCCCGGGATTGTTTGAGTCCTGGGGTGCACTGGTATTAATTTCAGGCTCCTGCTGCCAGTTAATGATAGCTTGCATAGACCTCGGTCCTACCGGTAGGACCTACCGGTAGGACCATCATACACAGACATGCTGCATGGCCTCTGTTCTAACATTGACCTAAAACTTGACCCTTAACTGTTGCTAAGGGGCTAATGAAAGAGTCCACACATTTTAGACGTGATCGCACAAGGCATACTACGAAATTCCATGGTAACAGCCCATGGTAACCATGGAAACTGAGTATGGAATAATGCATTCCACTGCCTTAGCAAGCTAATAAAAACATTAGGACCTCACCACGATTGATGTGCCATGGTCAAAATTCACTTTGGACAGAGTTGCTAGCGCACCGACAGGATTATGTGCTGCCATTTTGACAATCGATAAAATTGCGCATACGCAATGCACTGGACATAGCCTTGCATTTTGAGCCATTACTTGGCCTGACAAAGACCTCATCTCAACGATTGTTTCAAGAAATTTCTCAACCAAAAGCACTCAAGTTTGCAGCTCGATTTCTTGGGTCCTACCGGTAGGACCCGTGGTCCTACCGGTAGGACGGCATGCAAGCTATCATTAATCACTCTTGACACTCACTGCTGAATACTAGTACCTGATCCACTTCTCCTGCCGATGAATATCACTGTTTTCGAAACTGTACCTTCGAATCTCGCCCCGGATGACTCACCAAAATAAAGTCTTTTATAAAAACATAATAATATAATATTTTGCCTCAAGAGTTGTGTGTTGCTCACTCCCTGCGTGGAAGCTTGTGATTTCCAGTGACTTTCCAGTGATTTTTCAGTGATTTTCCAGTGATTTTCCAGCTGACTTGACTTGACCATTGACTGTCTTACAACTGCCATCCATAGCATACAAGAAGTCCATCGAAACTTCCACTCTGCAAATCCCCCAGCCCATATTTAGGGAGCAAGATACCATTCCTCGACCAGCGACCGACTTTTAGTGTACCAAGTGCCATATCTGACCTGCAGACAGCGACCAAAACTAGCCAAAAGTGCTCTCTGGCAGGATTCCCTGCAACAGGGTTGAAGTGGGCTCAGAATTGGGCATGCAGTCAACAGAAGTGATATGATTGTGACAGTACAGGGTGTGCTGCATGCACTTAAGTGAAGTGTGAAACTCATGGGTGCATTGCCTGCACGAAACTGTTCCATGCTCCACACCTGTCAATATGAGCATCTGGAAGCATCATTGCAAGATTCGATATGCCACCAATGTATGGGACCTGTTCCTAAGATAACTGTACTTTCAAAACAAAACAAAAAATTTAATAGGTAAAAAACATGTGTTTTGAGTTGTGAGATTTCCTCTCCTGAGATTTCCTGTTCTGTGCTGTTTCCTGCAGAGACGTGCATACTTGAATGATATCGGAGACAGTGTTCTGGAGTGGTCACTGTACATCTTAACCCTGTGCTTTGTCTGGCCTGGACGCCTTGGTCTACAACCCACTGATTGGCAATGGAAATGTGGTGCGGTGGCAGTTTTCCTGGCATGGTTTGACTTGGTGCTTTTCATCCAGAGGTGAGAAACTGTGCACGTGCGTGTGTGTGTGTGGGGGGGGGGGGGGGTGCATGTGTGCTTGTGCATGCGCATGGTGCGTGTGTGCATGTGCATGAGCGCGTGCATACACGTATGTGTGTGTGTGTGTGTGTGTGTGTGTGTGTATGTGTGGGAGGGGGTCATTTGGAAGACAGTGCTTCTTTACACTGCATTACTTCAGGATGAATATTGTGCTACTATGCTAACGTTTAGTCCGTAAACATCTCCTCTCTATTTGTACATCTGTCTATCTGGCTGTCTCTCTATCTGTCTATCGGTCTGTCTGTCTGTCTGTCTTTCCTGATCTAGTTATGACGCCTTGCCCATGTGAGCTAAGGTCAGACTAAAGCTAAAAATTCATCTACTGCATCCACCAATCCATCAATCTCACATTCAGTACATTTTCTCCCATCCGTGCATTCATCTATTTGGTCATCTCTTACTAGTTTTGTGATTGTATCAATGCTTGGAAAAAAACAGGTTCAGCTTCTTGGGGATTTATGTCGTCATGTTCAAATCTGTTCTCCAGACATTGTTAGAGGTGAGAGAAGTGTGCATGTGAGTTGAATGCATAAGTACAATCGCTATATCATTCTGAGCGACGATGCAACACTTAGCTACCTTTACCCTGTTTACGGGTAAGCTGTCCGGCCGGTGTCTACGACCGGGCATGATTTACTCTAACAAACATGATGTGCATACTAAGTGAGTGTGCAGCGATGCTGATATCTGTGTGCCTGTATAATAATGTGCATATGTAATAGGTGTATGTATGCTACGACCTGAATACAGTACTCACTATTCGTATTTCCCGCTCGTTCCCCTTGGCAATGAGCACTCACATAGAAGAGCGCATGCTCCAGTTCTGTTGTAGTCTAGTCTTGAGTTGTCGTTGTCCTGTTCTCCTTCTGTTTACACTCTTATCGAATACTTCTAATTATCCAATCATAAAACCCCTGTGTTCCGGTGTGAGGGAGCATCATTAGCCGGGAGCAGCTAACACTGGTGGCAGCGGAAAACGTCCACCACTACATCGCTGGCGAAGTATGTACGCCTTCGGAGATCGCCGACTATGAAGAACCACGAAGGCCCACGCAAGTGAAACCATATCCTCATCCACTCTCTTCGTCATTATTTTCCTTTCTGCATTGTGTTTCTTTCTGCTCGTCGTTTTCTTGTTGCATGCATTGTTTACCATGGTTTACAGTCCATAGGTCAAGCATTGGCGCCAACCTGTCTGGCCAAACATTTTCGGAACATTTTCTGTGTCCGTGTTTTGTGCATACTGGCTGCTGTCTAGTGTCTTGTTAGGATATCTGCTAGCTGGGTAGTAGAGTCTAGCTACACTGTGTCCGTAGAGTACTCGTAGTTGCCTATTTGGAATTGTCTCTGCCAAATTTAGTTGTTTGCCGCTACGCACGATAGGTTACGTAATAGATTGAGATCGATAGTCGATCGAGTCCACGGGAAATTTTTGCAGATAATTTTTTTTCGAAAATTCAAAAATACAAAAACAATTTTTTTTCACAATGGGCCGTTCAGCGAAATCCAAGAGACAAGAAAAGCTAGAGCGTAGCTTCGCTGAAGCTGGCTGTGACATGAACATTGCTGAAGAGCGCGAGAGTTCGCCGGTACAAGGGTTGTCCCATCGTTTTCGTTTGCCGGACACAGACACACCACATGCACGTCCACTGCCGAAGCCGGTCTTGCTTCCTGAGACATTCGGAAATCAGCCAGGCCAAGATTTCACCACGTACATGAGGCATTTCGTCCACACATGCGAGCTGAGTGGGTACGACGACGAACAAAAGCTACGGCTACTACCTGCTCGCCTTGTTGGTACAGCTCATGAGATGTTCACCGAAATTCTAACTCAAACGCCTGACATGAACTTTTCCGACACAGTCGAGGCTCTGCATGTCCGTCTTGAGCCGCCCCAGCAAGCATTGATGCACGAGGCCAGTCTTCGCCAGCGAGTGAAGCTGGCGAGTGAAACTCAGCACGGGTATGCCACGGAACTTCGTCGGCTCGCTCGTCGAGCCTACCCAGGACAACAAGGTGCACTGCTTGATTCAATGCTTTTGCAACTTTTTATTGATGGCCAGGCATTGAAGGATTTGCGCTTGGCGTTGGCGTCACCTCGGCCCACTGATTTGGATGCGGCGGTCCAAAAGGCCATCGAGGTAGGTGCTATTTATGCTCGCGAGCAGGCCCGCACCGTACCTCACCAGTACGCACAGCCCGTATTTGCTGCTGCTCCGGAAGTGAAGCCCCGTCGCACTGCTCATGGTCGTGACCCCTACACAGCAGTCGGTCCACTGAAGTCGGAATCTGAGCGAGACCAGTTGGCTTCGCTTTTGTCGAGGTTTGATTCGCGTCTCTCTGCTTTGGAGGCGAAAATGGAGAGCGTGAGTCTGTATCGCCCCACCCGACCCCAGCAAGACCATGTCCGTTTTGTTGCTCGTGGTGCTGGTGCTGGTGCGCCTAGTCGTGGTCGTGGCCAGAGTTTTGCGAGGCCTGTGCGTGGAGTGTGCCATGGATGTGGTGAAGAGGGCCACTTCATTGCATCTTGCCCGCACGCAAAAAACTAGGTTGGACTGGTGACACGGGGCCGCCGTCAGTCGTCCGAGTGGAGCCCCTCGAGGAGGTATGTGGTGCGATCTCACCCATTATTGTGCACGTTGATGTTTGTCTTTCTTCTTCGTCTTCGTCTCCTGTTGTTGCTCTTGTTGATTCTGGTTCAAGTGTGTCGTTAGTGCATTCTAAATTGTTGCCTAATTTGACAGAGCGACCTCCTCTAGAGTCTGCTCCGCGGTTGTGTGCAGTCAATGGCGCACAACTTCCTGTCGTTGGATCCATGGATCTGTGTATGTCGCTAGGAAATCTGTCTTTCCAGCACACGGTTGTTGTGTCTCCTGGTATTCACTGCGACATGATTCTTGGTTCCGATTTTTTGTTGCAGCATGGTGGTGTATTAGATATTGCTCGTGGTGTTGTGATGTTTGGCGATGTGTCTGTTCCGTTGCATGTTTCTGGTTCCGGGTGTCCTCCGTCACGTACGCCCTATGATCGTATTGTTCCGCGTAATACTTCCCCCTCATGTAATACTCATACTCCTCATTCTGATGCATGCTCCGACGATGTACCTGTTTCGTCGTATTCTTCTCGTGTTGCCCTTGACGATTCATTGTCTGCACGGGTTGTTGAACCCATGGCTCAACCTGGCGTTGTCCCGGCGTGTGCGCCCGAAAGTGTGGCCGACCCTGTGGTATACTCATCTCGTGTGGTGTTTGAGATGGAGTTGTCGGTACCTGCAGGACATGTTGTCTTGGTGCCTTGTGCAGCTGTTGATGTGTGCACGGTTGCGATGGATTGCGTGGCAGATCCATTGGAGTCCTTTATGGCGAAGCATCCAGATGTGGCAGTGACTCCTAGTCTTGTAACTGTCGGCCCTAACCAAACACGTGTGGTTGTGGCTGTTGAAAATCATGCAAATCATCCTATACTCATTCATAAAAATACCAATGTTGCCGAACTTCATCAAATTCCTACAGATTGTGAACATATTGACGACACTGAAGCTATGGTTTCCTCAGTTTCACCCGACCCGATCCCGCTAACTGAGCAACGCAAGAAAGTCATCGATGAATATATCAACGCACAAAAACATCTCTCCACAGAACAGTCTCGCACGCTCACTGAACTACTTCATGATAACCACGATTTATTTATCTTGCATGATGATGACTATGGCTACTGTGACATATTCCCTCATAAAATTAACACAGGACAAAATAACCCTATAAAACAACCTACCAGGCGGATTCCATATCACCGCCGGAAGGCTCTGCAAGATCTACTGAATACGCTGTTAAAGCAAGGCATAATACAAGAATCGATTAGTCCGTGGGCATCACCCATAGTATTGGTGCCAAAGAAGGATGGCTCTCTTCGACTCTGTATCGACTACAGGAAGTTGAACTCTGTCACCGAGCCTGATGCTTACCCGATTCCCCGGGCGGATGACATGCTTGATTCCCTGTCTGGCTGTCGGTATTTCACGTCCCTTGACTTAGCGTCAGGGTACTGGCAAATAGCAATGGAAGGAAGCGACAAGGCTAAGACGTCATTTACCACGCCACTGGGCTTGTTTGAGTTTAATGTTCTGCCGATGGGCTGCAGGAATGGCCCAGCGACATTTCAGCGCGTAATGGAAGCAGTCCTGAGTGGCTTGTGTAACACACCGGCCCAGCCATTCTGCCGTGTGTTCTTTGATGATGTCCTGAATGCCAGCGAAACGCTGTCTGGCCAACTCCAGATTCTGCTGCCCGTGTTCGCGCGAGTTCGGTCCGCTGGACTGCGGTTCAATCTGAAGAAATGCTCCTTCTTCCAGGAGGAGGTCACTTTCTTAGGACACCGCGTGTCAGCGGAGGGCATCTCCCCGAATGAAGCCAAACTCGTCGCGGTCAGGAACTGGAAGACTCCGAAATCTGTCACAGCTGTCCGCGAGTTCCTTGGCTTCGCTGGATATTATCGCCGCTTCATCCGTGGGTTCGCCCAGCGTGCTGCTCCGCTGACTGCTCTGACAGGCAAGAATGCTCGCTTTGCGTGGGCGAAAGCTTGCGAAGCGGCGTTCCAGGCTCTGAAGCGTTCGCTTGCCAGTGCGCCGGTGATGGCGTACCCCCAGTTTGAAGATTCAGCAGGTGCATTCATTCTGGACACCGATGCGAGCAATGTGTCGATTGGTGCAGTCCTCAGCCAGATCCAGGATGGAACTGAGCGACCAATTGGGTACGGCAGCCGTGTACTGACGAAAGCTGAGCGCAACTACGATGCTAGCGATCGTGAGGCCCTTGCTCTGGTCTATTTTGCGGAGTATTTCAGGCACTACTTGTTGGCACGACCATTTGTTGCCAGGACGGACAATACTGCGTTGACTGCACTCCGGAACCTGAAGGAACCCCGCGGACGGAAAGCACGTTGGCTTGACTGTTTATCCGAATATGAATTCCGAGTCGTCCACCGTCCAGGTCGCCAACATCTGAATGCTGATGGTCTGTCGCGCTTGCTAGCCGAACCTGAAGCACATGTGCACAGTGAGTCTCCGCCACTGGCACCAACGCCGCCGCAAGATGCTGCACCGTCTCCTCCGCCGAGTCCGCCGCCTCTTGCCCGTGATGTTCCGTTGTCAGCTGCTGATGAAATGCCACTTGCTGCTGATGTTCCTCCGGCTGCCGAGATTATTCCTCCGGCCGTTTTTGTTCGTCCTCCTGGTTCCTCTGCCGCTGGACCGTCGTCACCTGATTGTTTCAAGCCTCAGAGTCTTCTTGCTCCGTATGCTGATCCTGCTCTGTCTGAGTGTTTCACCCGATATGATGCTGCCAGTGGCAAGTTTGTTCGTCCGCCTGAAGCCGTTTCCCGTCCTCCCGACTGTCACCCGCCTGCCGTTACTGCTTCTCGTCCTGACCCGATTACGCTGTCCGATGATGATTTGCCACGCTGCGTTCCGCCGCTACAGCCGCCGTCGTCTGATCCGGTCCG